GCTGCTAGCGCCGGTGCTGGCGGCCGCCCCAGGAGGTGAGGGCGGCCGGGCTGGATGGGCAGCGGTTGGGGTGGGCCGCAGAGACGGCAGGGGTGTCCCCCGAGGGTTTAAGCCAGTTTCCACGCTCCCGGTAAGCGGCGCGAGGGGGCCGCGGCCCCTGCCTCAGGTGCGTGCGCGTAGTGCGGGGTAGGTGCGTTTCGTTTCGCCCCAATCTCGTCTGTCCCCGCAGGACTCTTCTGGCCGCTTGACTCCTCTACGCCCTGACGAAGGCCGGATTTGGGCCAGGGTTTTTGGGGTTCGCGCGGGCGGCTTGGAGGGATTGCGGGCTCGTCCCTTCCAGAGTTTAAGTCCGGCGGTGAACAAGGTCTTGAAGTCGCTTTGGAGAGCGGAGTCCTGGAGGGTGCTTATGCGTTGGAGTCAGGCTTGCACGGGGTGACCGTGTAAGCCCTCTGGGTTGTGCTTTTATTCCTTCTCACCTCCTAAGGAATGCATACACGGTTTATTCGTCTGTTCCTTTATTGGACGCATGCCTGGCAGTGAACAAAACCAGTACAGTCACCTAAGCCTTCATAGGGATGGTGGTCTCCGTGTTGTTGACCGCTGCATCCCCAAGGCTTGTTATTGGTAGATAGGCCAGTACATTTTTTTAAAGGAGAGAATGACTCTAATTACTGCTTTTCCATTTCCCACTCAGAAGTAACAACAGTGAACATTTTGGCGTTCCTTCGGGCTCAGCACACTCAGTTACACACATAAGAATATAAATTTACATATAACTATTTTTATGTAAAAAAAGCTAAAGTATATATACGTTGTGCTACACACTTTTTAGCATTCCTTTACATGTCTTTTCATTTCAGTGTACATGGGTCCACCGGCTTTCCAGTGGTTACACAGTATTCTATATTATGGATATATGGTTTACTTAACGTTGTCCTATTAGTGAACATATTAAAGGTTATTTCACGTTTTATTTGTTTACCTTTTTGAGACAGGCTAGAGTGCTATAGCTTCAAACTAGCTCACAGCAGCCTCAAACTCTTAGGTTCAAGCAATCGTCTTGCCTCAGCCTCCCAAGTAGATAGGACTGTAGGCCACCTGTCACCATACCCAGCTAGTTTTTCTCTTTTTAGTAGAGAAAGGGTTTGGTTCTTGCTCATGTTGGTCTTGAACTCCTGACCTCAAGCAGTCCACTTGCGTTGCCCTCACACATCGCTAAAATTATAGATGAGAGCCACTGCTCTTGGCCTGAGGTTTTAATTTTTATTGCAGTGCTGTGTAGAATGAGCAAGTACTCAAATCTTTGTGTGCATATGTGGTATTTCTTTAGACTTATGGAATTAGAGTTTTAGGATTGATGTTTCAGAGCCTGTGCATTTCTGAAATGTTAGCTGGTAATGCCAAATTGTGGTCCAAAAAGGCTTTATCACATATTTTTAACTAGATCAATTTATATTTCCATTAGTGGGTATCTAGGCTGTCTATTCCATGGTATCTTCTCCAACACTGGGTATTACTTTTGGTTGTTGTTGTTGTTAGAAAAAAACACTCACTTTGTCACCCTCGGTAGAGAGCTGTGGCATCACAGCTCACAGCAACCTCCAACTCTTGGGCCTAGGTGATTCTCTTGCTCCAGCCTCTTGGGTAGCTGGGACTACAGGCATCCGCCCGGCTATTTTTTTGTTGCAGTTTGGCTGGCCAGATTTGAACCCACCCCCCTCGGTATATGGGGCTGGCGCCCCACTCACTGAGCCACAGGCGCCGCCCAGGGTATTACTTTATTTTTCAAAACAATTAGTCTGTAAAAGATATTTCAGTGTTCATTTGTGTGGATACAAGGAGTAAAAATGTTTTTGCTTGTTTAATGGCCATTTATATATCCTTTTCCTATCTTTCATACCTTTTTTCTTTCTGTCATTCATGCTCTAGGATGTCTGCAGGTGTTTGTAATCTGTGCTTTGTACTACATACTGTTTTTTATTTGGAATATGTGTCAATTTTCAGCACAGCGACATTTAAAAAAAAA